AAAAAAACAACCTGTGTGAACGTGTTTTCACGATGTCAGTTGGCAGGTACTTTGGTGTGGTTTACTCCCTCTTTCCTATCAAACATCTTTCGTCCTTATCTCTCCTTCTTTCCTGTGTTTGTTACTCTCTTGTAACACCTCTAATCTTCTGCACTTATATGACCTTAGTGTGTCGCAAGTGCCGTTAAACACTTACTAAAACTAAACTAAACAAGTGCTGCCAAACTCTTTGCTAAAACTAAAACAAAGAAAAAAACGTATGTGAGCATACAATGACAATGTCTGTTGTCCGATGTCCTCCCCAGGATATACCAAAGCCTGTGATTGGTGGAGTGTTGGCGTGATTCTCTACGAGATGGTGATTGGTCAGCCCCCCTTCTACGCCAGTACGCCCATGGAGACGCAGTACAAGGTCAGTGTTGTGTGTGTTTGTGTGTGCGTCTGTGTGTGTGTGTGTGTGTGTATGTGGGTGCATGCGTGTGTGTGAGCGTGTGTGTGTTTGTGGGCGCATGCGTGTGTGTGTGCGTGTGAGTGTGTGTGTGTGTGTCCGTGTTGTGTTAGTTTCCTTGGTGTGTGTGTATGTGTGTGTGTGCGTGTGTGTCTGTGGTGTGTGTGTGTCAATGGTGTGTGTGTCCATGATGTGTGTGTAGCTTAGGCATAGCAGCCAGCCTCCCAAATAATCTAGGTTGTGTTGACTGAAACAAGCATCAATCAATCAATCAATCAATCAATCATGTGCACAAACATTCACTGAAAGATGGATCAGAGGATGATTTATAAAAATGTATTTGTTTTCGTCAACACCACCCACAGTTGTAATGAGGATTAGTTTCTGAACATAGGGAAATATTTATCCCTAAGTATTGTTTAATGCTTGTCGCAAACTATTGTTTAATGTTTGTCCCCTTTGCATTGTTCCATATTTGTACAGAAGTTTTGTTTCATGTTCATCTTTAAATGTTGCTTAAGATTTGTTTCTAAATATTGTTTAGTATTAGTCTGTAAGTATTAGTTAATATATGTATCCTAGCATTGTTCCATATTTGTCCCTAAGTATTATTATCTCTTTGTCTCTGAGCATTGTTCCATATTTGTTCCAAAGTATTATTTTCTATTTGTCTCTGAGCATTGTTCCATATCTGTCCCAAAGTATTATTTTCTATTTGTCTCTGAACATTGTTCCATATTTGTCCCTATTATTTAATACTATTCTCTAAGTGTTGTTTGATCCTCCCTCCAGGTGATAAACTGGAAAGACACGCTGACAATTCACCCGAAGGCCAACATTTCACCAGCGGCGGCCGAGCTGATCCAGCAGCTCCTGCAGGGCCCCGAGAGCCGCCTGGGCCGCAACGGAGCCACGGAGGTGAAGGAGCACCCGTTCTTCTCCGGCATCAACTTTGACGGGCTCCGGCGGCAGCAGGCCCCCGTGAAGCCCACGATTCGTTATCTCACGGACACCTCCAACTTTGACCCCGTGGACCCCGACAAGCTACGGACGAACGACTCGGAGGGCTCCAAGAAAATCGACTCCAAGCTGGAGAACGGCAAGCACCCGGAGCACGCCTTTTTCGAGTTCACCTTCCGCAGGTTCTTCGACGACGGCGGCCATCCTTGCTCCATGCCGTCCACCAATCAGGAACAACAACAATCGCAACAACAACAACAGCAACAACAACAACAAGAGTCGAACTATCCGGTGTACGTCTAGCTGTGCTAACGACGGAACGACAAGGAAAGAAGAAGAAGAAGAAGAAGAAGAAGAAGAAGAAGAAGAAAACAAAATGCAATGTCTCGTTGTGCCTCCTAAGTGCTCAAATAACCCCCCAGAGTTTGAATGGTTGTTGCGCGTTAAGACTTTGTGTGAGTGTGTGTGCGTGTGTGTGTGTATACATATGTGCGTGAGTGCGACACACAGTTTGAGAGGTGCAGACCTAAATAAGGAGATGCACACTGGAGAAGAAGAAGGCTGAGAGTGCACTTAGAGGGTGTGGGGCTCAAAGCAACATTGCATTGGTTTGTTTCGTTCTTTGTACGTTTTTTTTGTTTTGTTTTGTTGTCTCTTTGTTTCAGTGCTCCTCATGTGGGGAAATCGTCCTGTCTTCCCTCTGTAGTCAGCAAAAGCTAGGGTGGCGTTTGTTTCATGACTATTGCGGAGAAATTAACGTTGAGCGTGTTGAGAAGAAGTGTCAGCGATGATTCTGGGTGAAGAATTTGCCCCAGGCTCAGATTTTTCCTCGAGGTCGTTATGAGGAGCACGACCTACATTTCAACTGGTTAAAGTTATTGTTCAGTTTACGTCACAGAAAAGTATTATTGGTTCTGTGGTCATTTTTTTAGTTCTTCAGCGCATATCGCAGACGCATCAGCTGCAAGTCCGTGCTAAGACTTTGCTGTTATATGGGGCAGTTTTCCTCCCCCCCCCGTGCCCCACCCCTTTCTTATCTTTCTTGTTGAAAGTAAAAGATAATTTTGTAGCCTTGTCATTCAGGCTTTGTGAGATTTATGAGAGTAACTAAGTCTCTGTTACTGGTAAATGATCCAGAGTTAAGTAGGTGTAGTCGCTACACTATCAAGTATAAGCGAATGATGATCTTTTTCCCCAGATTACTTAAAAATGTGGGTTGTGAGAAATAAGATTTCAATTTTTAATTTTTTTTTTTGTATTCAAGATCCGAACAAAGCTGTATATGTCAAACTGAATTTGTGATATTTCTGTTTGTGCAACAACTGCAAAAAGTGTTACTGAAAGTAGTGGAACTGATTCTTGTGCCTTGAAGATGCTTCAGTGAAATAGGATCTGCAATATTTCTTCCTCACTGTTGGACAGGGGATGTGAAGAGTAATTTATTGACACCCAGGCCCTGCTCCCAGACAACCCCCCTACCCCCTCCCCCCTCCCCATACCTCATGGTTATCTAGGCAGGTAGAGAACAAAATGCTGATGACACCAAAATGTTTGTCAGGCTTGTGAAAGCTACAGAGAACCACGGGCCGCCTTCTTGGATGAATCGGAGTAAATGAACTGGGATTTGTTTTTCTCCTTTCTTAATTTGAAGTCTGTCTATCCCTTTTTTATTATTTTTTTTTTAAGGGATTTCGTTCTTCCTTTTTTCTTTTTTTTTTTTTTTTGCGAATGGTTGTCGTCTGTGATAAATTTTCCCATCTGGTTTGTCGACTGCGTAAGTCTTGAGATTGTTTCGACAAGGATGCTTGGAACAATGTGTATTGAGAGTGGGGCGTTTTGCAGCAAAAGCAGTAAACTGTAGAGCAAAAGTTGCTGTATAAAGGAGAGCCTCTACTAAAAGTGTTCTTTGTGAACCTATTCTATCTCTGTAAGGAAACAAAGATGGTCGTCTCACTATGCAAAACACTGGAGAGCAATGAAACAACAGATAATTTTGAAGGCAAAATTTGATAACGCCGATTTCCCGTCTCTTGTGGTAGCCGCAGAAATCCTCACGACTTTGTGTCATTGTTAGTGGGGCTTTGTAACACTGTGGCTGTCCGGGAGGTCGGAGGTCAGGAAAGCTCTACCTGGTTCAGCTTCTGCTGCAGTTCTGACACACCCACCCTCCCTCTAAGAAACCAACTTTTCTTTGGATGTTCACCTCTATGCAAAACAGACGCGTAATTTATCGAGCTCTGCTTGTTACCTGCCCTTTGTACAAGAAGAAAAAAACAAAACATCTTTTTCACTTGTAGTTCTTGTTCACAAATTTTGTGAGGAAGCGTTTGATATTCTTGATGATCAAGATGGATGGGAATTGTTTTTGTAAATTGTGTATGTTATGTACTGACTTTATTTTTACTGTATTGCATAGGATTGAAATGGGAAGGAAATTTTATGCAATGCAAGTTTTATCCTTTACACACCTTTTTGTTCCGTTTTATTTTTATGTTTCCTGTTACTTGGTTGTTTTTTTGGCAGGGGGGTTGTTCTATTTTTGGTTCACGGTATAATTGCCCTGTTTCCAGTATGACCGAAGTTGTATGGGATGAGAGAGGCACGTGTTTCAAAGTTGGCCCAAACCACCATCCCCACCACCACCACCACCGCACCCACCACCCCTGTTCTGTGTTACACACGGACTTTTGAGGTTGCATGTACATACGTGAAGGAAAGGAGAGCTGTTTGGTAGATGGAAGCTGTTGTCTGTGTGTGTGTGTGTGTGTGTGTGTGTGTGTGTGT